AATGTGCCAGCGGTTTAAATACAGCGACGTGACAAATCGTCTGCCACCGAATAAGTGTAAACCAAGTGTCAATGTTTATCAACATTTCTACAATTACCTCTTTAAGGTCAAGTCACATTCGTGGCTCTAATCAATACATCAGCGGCGCGCTGAAACTCACACTCAATCACATCGGAACGCCTTGAAGGACAATTTAGGAAGGGTTGCCAGTAACGTTGGAATTGTTCGCGCTCGGGACCCACCTTGTGAGCGAATGCAACACAGGGAGAACGTCCACCTAATGGGAGGTCCGAGGTTCTACAAAGCTGTACAATGAACACCATTGGAACCTCCTTTGCCAGTAGCAAAATATGATAATTCGGTTTTTACCCTTTTATCTGGCAACAAAACTGACACCTTTTTTTACAAGGAGTCTAGGCTAGTCTAGGCTCTAGAAAAAGCTGTCTTGGGTGTGGACCAATCAATTTCAAGGACATTGCATACATTATCAGAGTTGTATTTTTTTTGCATTCCGACCGCAGGTATTGTGGTCTATGCAAACATGACTCCTTGTAAAAAAAAAGGTGTCAGTTTTGTTGCCAGATAAAAGGGTAAAACCCCAATTATCTGTACAATGAAGTTATTTTAATCATCATCGTCACAATCCATGGACAGAGAGCCCCGAGGAATCCACTGCACACATTGTAGTTTGTTTCCACTTGCCTCTGCCTTGTGCCAATATGCGCAAGTAGTGCCACATCTTTCTGGCACCGATCTCTGATTTCGTCAAGCCGTTCTCTGTTTGGTCTTCATCACTTTTCTTGTTCCTTCCATTTTGTCCGAACAACACACTTTCCATGGCCCTGTTGTTGTCAATCCAATGTATGTGTCCACATAGTGCCAGCCTTCCTTTTAATCACTGCCCACATCATCAGAGTATTCTTCTTCTACGTGCAACCTTTTACTTCCCTCTACGGCGGTCACTCTTTGGGTTAGGTATGTTTTAAACATACATTATTTAGTGACGTGGAAAAATGAAACAACTGCAAAATAAACTCCACGAGAAGTGATAGATAATATGGTCAAAAAACCCCCAAGAGCAACACTACATTGGGGAGGATTTCATATGAGAGTAGATTGACAGAGGGCCATATATTTAGTGTATATATAAAAAAAATCGTATATTAACGTATGTACATTGAACTTCTTTCGCACCGTACATATCTAACCATGCTCATCGATTTTAACAATGAAACTGTTAAAAAGGTCATGATACCACCTCAATTCAGAGAGGTGTTTCGAGAATAAAGTATAACAAAAAATGTCCTGCTCGGTCACATGACGGGTAAGAGACTGACGTTTGCAACATTAGGTTATCTTTGACAATTACATCGCAATGTTTGCCATCGGGATCATGTCACGATGCAATAAACATCATTTCAGAACTCCTCCAGTCGGAAGCACATCGCCTCGTGTCAGCATGAGACGACGGCGCTTGGAAGATGTCACCACGGGACGATGTCAGATCTCACTCCGTCACCAGGCATCTCTCAGGCAACACGAGAAAGCAATCATGCGCTGTCGTGTTGGCTGAGAGATGCCTGGTGCAATCCCGTGAGTCAATGCACCTGCCTGTGAGCTGCAACTTTGCTGCCCACAGGCAGGTGCATTGGAATGACGTGAAGACAACACGCGATTATTCGTTTGCAGTTTTACTGACGATCAAGTTGAGACCATCAACCTGTTGCACTTGATACTGGTAGGAACCTCCTGGTTACACCAGCCCACAGGGGATTATTGTGTCCGTCGTGCAGGGAGGGGCTGGATGGGGAGGGAGGGGCTGGGTGGGGAGGGGAGGGTGGGGAGGGGCTGAGTGGGGCTGGGTGGGGAGGGTGGGGGAGGGTGGGGCTGGGTCGGGGGTGGGAGGGGTGGGGCTGGGTGGGGAGGAGCTGGTCACCCCGTGGTGCCCTTATAAAACTCAACGTTTAACCTACTCACGCCGGCTTGTGCCCGCCCTCACAGTCAGCCATATTTGCGGAATACACCACGCCGCCGTTGACCCTGCAGGCCATTGACCGAGTAAGCCAACGTGTTCCTACCTGCAGCTCCCTCCGCAGCAGGACAATGTGTTCATGAGCGACTGCCCCGATCTGAACCCGGCACGTGAGCAGTGCTGGCTCAGCTGTGCTTTCTCTATCTCACCCGGCTATTATGATCCCACACAGCCGCCTACCGCACCTCCAGCACTGGGCTCTTTTGTTAATAGAGTTTGAGACAACAATGTATCGACCAAAAGGCAGAGTATTGCGTAAAAATGTCGATGGATTTAAAATTGCGTGTAATAATTCAAAACGCCAGCAAAGTGTGTGGCAGGCAGTGGCTTCCCCTTTGCCGTCGCTGTGAATGTGCGAAAGTGAGACAAATAGAGGATGAATCAAAATAAGCGTCGTCGCAATGACGAGTAAAACATTCCAAATGATATATTTCACATGCTCGTTCGATGACGTCTTTAGGTTTCGTCCAATTATCTGTCATTTGTGAGGCGTGGGTGGAGAGGTGTGCGTGGGAAATTGTGAATATTTATGATTCTCCCAGAGAAGAGATAGTTCTCCGAGATTCTCTGTCAACATGCGACGGCAAAAAAACAAAAAAAAACTCTGGGTAAAATCTACGCGTCTTTTCAATATGAAAACAATCATTGCATTGCATTAAATTCCGGTCCGCTTACATTGGCTGCATGTTTACGTTTCTGTGTCCCTTTTCAAGCGAGCGCAGCCTCTTCGTGTCTCTCATAATTAGGCAGGAATCAGCACTGATGAGCATCCAATTTTTCTCAAGATCTACAAGAGCCAAAATAACAGCTCGCAGATGAACAACCACGTGCCGTTACTTTGTCTACACACTGGGCCTGGCAAATCCATGAATGTAAACAAAGTGTAAATACCACACGTGGCAGAGTGAGATTTCAAGCATCCAATTTGTCGGAACGTTCAGTGCTGATTTGTCCTCTTTAAATGGTGATTAAATAATAAAGCACAGGTGTTAACATTTCTTCCGCAGCACATTCTAATGATAAAATCACTTACGCGAGCACGCCCGTGTAGGCACTTTCCTCGAGGGGGTGGGCACACCGTGCATTGCGCAGCCACACAGCTGCCCAGCCACCAACTCTGCCAGCCATCTAAGCCTCAGCGTCTACAAACTATAAACTAACCTCTGTTTTCATCTTCTTGGTTCTTTCGGTAAAGTCACGTAGAAGGGAAATAATAAAATAATAAAATAAAACATTATAAGATACAATTCTCACGACGTTTCGGCCACAACACAAGCAGCCGTCCTCCGGCTGCTTGCGTTGAGGACGGCTGCTTGCGTTGTGGCCGAAACGTCGTGAGAATTATTTTATTATGTTTTATTTTTAGTATTTTATTATTTCCCTTCTACGTGACTTTACCGAAAGAACCAAGAAGATGAATCCCTGCAGTCACGAAAGCTTTAAATCGAAATGTGACCTCTGTTTTATTTCACCAGGTAAGTCCCACTGAGCTACATAGGTCTTTTTCAGAAGCCAACGGCCATCAGAAATGATAGCTCAACGAAGTGGCTTAGCATGTGGACATTTAGAGCAGCAGCCAAAAGGTCTAGACGCACGTTGATTATAAATGTGGAGGGAAAACCCGGAGGACCTGGATAAAAATCCATGCGACCATGGGGAGAAAATGCTAACTCCAAATATACAGGCGTCAGGGTCGGGATCAAACCCACGACCTCTTGTGGCAGGGGAGGTAGTTAACATCTCGCCACCGTGGCGAAAATGTTAACTGCGTGTGTACTGTGTGTACTGATCACAGCGTAAGGCTTTCCCCCCACAGAACAAACAAATGATTTATACATCAGAACGCTGCCACACCCGTCGCTGTCGTGCAAGAGTTGTAAGTTGACCGTTTCGTCACAGGGAGCTGCACTCTTAAGATGACCATAGTTCACCATCAGAGAGCGACTTGCGGCTAAATGGAGCTGCAATAAATTGTGATACATTTGCTCACGTGTCAATGCATCCCTGTACTTCACTGACAATTGTCAGTCGTGCAACTAGACGGCTTTCTCGGTCACCATTGATAAAGATGTAATTGTCGAGTCACTTAAGATGAATTTAGGATATTGGATTGTCACTGTGAAATGTGCAAGATACATATATGTTGAAGCTTTCGTGACTGCAGGAATCCATACCCTTTGGTTCTTTCGGTAAAGTCACGTAGGTAGAAAAATAATAGATCTATTATTCTATCCACGTGACTTTACCGAAAGAACCAAAGAGTATACATATATGCATGTATGTTGAACGTGTTCCGCACCGTACGTAGCCACCCGTGCCTAAGCCTCATCTTAAGCCTCATCTTAGGGTTATTTTTAAATGCTGTAGGTATCACGTGTGCAGGCGGTGTAACTGCCCCAGGGCTGCCCACAGGCTCGACAGGCCTAGGAGCTGGGCTACAAAGAGCGGCAAAGGTGAACAAGGAGGGGGGACGCTTTCATTCCTTCCACCTGAGGGCCATGCCGTGTGATTAGTTTCCCTGCACCAACGATTAGCATGGTTGGCGATGCACAGTGTGAAACAAGTTCAACATTCACACATGCTACACCACAAGTGTATACATCTAAACTAATACAGTCGATGTACAATTGTGGCTCGTACAAGTTGACAAAAAAAGAATCTGCACTCATTGGTCTTTTGGGTTTGCAAATCTTATTTCCCTTAAGAGAACACAGGCCAGCTTCATTGCAACACTTTACAGTCCACTTTTGATACTTTCAATGATATCATCTCCTCCCAGATGGCCGCAACAATGAACTGAATAATTCACTTTTTTCATACACTTAATAAGCCTATGTTCAACAAAAGCCTATTTTCGGGGCAAATGAGATTCTGTCAGTGATTGAGCTTGTCCAGGACACCACCTCATTTCATTAGAGGGGGGGGGGGGAGTGCAATATATCTAACACACAAAATATATCACACTGACCAGGTATCGTGTCGCAGGCGTGCGTGCCGCAGGCTCGGATCGTCTCCGGACGCGGCAGAGTTCCGCACCGCGTCCCGTTTCCTCCTGGCTGCCGCGTCGCCGCAATCACACACTGCACCATCCGATGCTGGACACCTCCATCGCAGGAGACGCTGCACTGCAATAAAAAAAAACACAAAACATAAACGAATCAGGAAATCTTCTTGGTTCTTTCGGTAAAGTCACGTAGAAGGGAAATAATAAAATAATAAAAATAAAACATAATAAAATAATTCTCACGACGTTTCGGCCACAACGCAAGCAGCCGTCCTCAGGTGAAGAACAGGTCTGTCGGAAAGACAGCGTCCGAATAGACCTCTGGAACCTAATCCGTTCATAAGTAGAGGAGTCCCTGTATTGTATAGTATTTAACCAACATCATAACCCATATCCCACATACATTATTTAATGCATATTTACAATCTGTGCCAATACATTTTTAATACTTCGATTTGCCTTTCAGCTTGCATGGGAAATTTAGCAGATTACATTTGTCAACACGTAACCCCACGTGTAAATGTGTGCCGCTGTGTGGACCGGGCAAAACGACGCCAGCGGCTCTCGGCAAAACTCAAAAGAGAAACTCATCCAGTTAACCATCTACTCCACACGCGCAAAAAAAACTCAACACATCCGTCAATAGCACTCCCCACTCAGGCTCTCTTGACAAAACGCTCGCGGGTCTCTCAACAGACGGATGCCTCAAGCGCCAACGACACGGCACCGGCATCTCTCGCAGCGCAATCGAGAAAATCGAGTCAGCATGGCGGAGAGGGCAGATGAAGCACAGAAGCATTTACAGCCACCACATATCGTTGCTCCATGAACCGCCTTCAAGTGCCATTTGTCTTCTGCACTTAGCGACCTCTCTTAACCACTTTGGTTAAACTCACGTGGTTGGATGGCCAATGCCCTTTGACGTGCGAAGATTGATCCGCGACATCCTATATATATATTTTACTCCCTTGCGCCAGAGCTCACCTCTCCCCACCGCCCGACCATCCACTCGAGACACGGTTGCGGATTGCAGGGGCGGAGGGCAATTGGGGGGAGCTTGGGCCTTGCGTCGCCGTCATCGTCACACCGACGTCCCGGGGGGCACGTCACCGACCTGTGCTGCCAACCTCCGCCGCACTCACGCGAGCACTGGGCCACGGCAGCGGAGAAAAGCGAGGAAAGGCGTAGCGTTGCTTAAGCAAAAGAAGACACGGGTGCTAAAAAAAAAAATCAATCACGTCCTTCGGCAAACAGACCCGCCGAGATAATGCATCAGATTTGTAAAGTGAGATCGTATGAGACGAAACAAGCAAGCTTGGGATCGAACACAAGAGGTAAGAAAAAACAAAGCAGTGACCACAATAAACTAATGTACGTTTCATAGGATACACCCACTTCAAATTCAATATTCACCGACACAAGAATAATTCCTCTTCCCAAATAATTCCGGCACCACCGCAGGGTGCCGCTTGATCAGCACACAGTAAACACACAGTTAACATCTCGGCAAGGTGGCGAGATGTCGGGATTGAACCCACAAGGTCCTGTATACTAGGCGAGATAGTTAACATCTCGCCACTGTGGCACCCAAAACAAACCACTGTGCCCCTGTTTAACCCCTGCACAGATTTTACTAATACAGCATCCGCAGGATGACAGGCAGATGGACAGACAGACAGACAGACAAAAACAACAGAAACAGCAAAGACAAAACTCGTTAAAAAAAATCAATGGTGGAAAAACCAATTCCATACTTGGCTCCAATTGCCGGTGCTCGACTCGGGGCAGGGATGTGAGTTGCAGGCGAGGCTGGTGGGCGGTGTGTATCCCCGTGAGTGGCAGTGGAACGGACGCAAGGCCCGGCCGGGCTTGTGCGCATCCACGCACTGCACCACACGTATCTTCACCCCGCCGTCGCCGCACTCCTCCGAGCACTGCGCTTCGATCGAGACCGAGATGCCGTCAAGACCAAAGCGGTTGATGCCACCGCACCGCACCTCGCCGAAGCTTTCTACCCCATGCCATATGCCGCCGTGGCTTGAGACTCCCCGCAGAATAGATTATAGAATCCATCGCCACGTGACCATGTCATCAGTTCACGTGCAGGCACTGCATAGATTTTTGCATTGCAACCATTGTAAAAAGGCGGCGGTGGTGGCTTAGGGAAGGCCTTCATCCAGCAGTGGATTGATCATGGATGATGATGATGATGATTTACATTTCTTGGCCACCTCGCAGCCCAACTCTACAATACCTGCTCTTCTCAGAAAGTTTCCCATCTAAGTACTAAACTAGGCTCAATATTTTACGTGTGTGTATATATATTGAACTTCTTTGGCGCCGTACGTAGCCAACCATGCTAATCGGAGGGGCGGGAAATGTCGATTAGCCTCCAAGACCAGATGAGAATTTCCACCACTGGCTCAAGGCTGCCAATTTAATTGAGCACCACGCAAAAAACACCATGCGCATGCGGATATATTTAAAAAAAATCAGAGCTGCACAAATGACCCATGCTTTGGGCATCTTGGCACACTGCGACACATTTTCCTCTCCACAAATCCCTATGAGAGCACCGCGTTTGTTACGACATTTGTTTTGCTCGTGAATAACTGTGCTGAGAAAGTAAACTCACATCACTTTAGGACCTTGTTAAACCTTGGGTGGCCGCCCACATTCATAGCCATGATCTCAGTGGTGCTGGCTCAAGAATCTCTAATGAGAAGGATTGTAAAAAATCACCACCCCCCCCCCCGCCGCAAAGATTAGATGAATTGTAACTCTTCACGGTCGTGATTCGATTTGATAACTGACTGTTCTGTTCCACCCTTTTATCATGTCGTTTTGCACGACTCGCCTTGCTCCAGTTGCCCGCGATCCAAACGGCGCAGGGGCGAACGTGGCATCGGCGTGCCGGCTCCGGCCGCTTGGCAGCGTCGCAATCGTCGAGCCGGCCAGAGCTGCACCGCACGGCTCTCCACATGGCTCCCAGCCCGCAGCTCACGGAGCACTGAGCGAGACGCAGGGAAGCAGCATCAGTAGCATTAGGCCTTTGCAATGCAGGCTCCCCAAACACAGCTTCATTCAGCAATACAGTATACAAGATGACTGGAGATTTGGGGGTTCTTAACACTTTAAAATGTATATCGTTTATGCATTCGATCCATCTGTCTGTCTGTTGTGCGAAGGCAAAATCAACTCTTGTAAACGTGATTCAATATGAACAAAACATTACTGTAGCGTTATATTTCTTTGAGGGCACTGAAATCTGGACAGAATTATCAAAGGGGTTTCTTAAACTTGGAGATATAAACTGGAGCTAAAAGAACATTTTACATATGTGCAAACGCAATATGCCATAACAGATGCTCTGTCAGCTTTCTTAAGTATTTTCGAGGACAAATGCATATTGGAAAGCATAAACCGTGCATGATTTTTCTGAACTTGTTTTAATGTCAATATAATGAACTATAATAAAACTACTGTGCTTTTCAGGCTGCTGTTTAACTGCTACCAATTATCTAGGAATAGAAATTGTCACTCTCACTAAACTCACGCTATTGCACAAATAACTACACTCAACATATTATTTAGTGGAGTTTGTTGTCAAATATATTGGAAGTCTAAAATGAATGTAACAAAAATAAATGATCTAATAGCCCCTAAAGTCCTTGAAATAAATTTTAAAAATACTCGTGCAAAAATTTAATTTGAAAAATATGGAAATACGTTATTCCTTTGAGATGTAATGTGTTTCTTATCTTGTACTCTGGAAACGCATACTTAAAACGTGTTTTTTTTTCCCTCTACACCAATTGCATAAAAGCCAATATCTTTTTCACTAGTTGCGGGAAATATTTCACTCTTGACAATATAGTTCGTAAAAAAAAAAACACACACACACGTGTGTTGTTTTTACCTCACTCCAGACACCCACGAACCAGTGTCCAGGCAAACCAGGACTTTCGTTTGCACTATTGGACTTCTCAAACGAGGAGGTAGCGGAAGGTTGCTTGGTGGCCAAGGGCGACGTTGTGGATGTGGTAAATTCATCCGAGTCCATTTCCATCCACCAGTCTCTTTCTGGAGGACTAGAATCACCATCAATTTGATCAATGTCAGTGCCATCACCACCACCACCAGCACCCTCATCATCATCATAGCCGATGATGTCATCAAATATACTTTTTTGGTTTAAAGAATCTTTAGTTGCACCAACATCCACACTTGCGTTAGTGAGCGTGACTTCATTGAAGTTTTCCGCTGGTTCCTTGGGCCCCACTGCGAGACGTGAATTTGACCTTCCTGTTGTGTGGGTTTCATCTGTGCTCTCATCGTCCACGCTCTCTGCCATCGGCAAGGCGCCCGGTGCTTCGATTTGTCCGGGCCTTTGTGATGCAGCTGACCTGAAACTGTTGCCGTCAGGCGCCGATGTGGCCACATCGTGCAGCCCTGCCACTGTCGTGGCTTCTTTCCCTGTACTCTTAACGGCAACGCTTCGAGAAACGTCAAGGGCTGGTAGCCTTTTACTTCTGGCTATCGGTGTGCTGCTCGGTGACGCCATCTCAAAGGTGTGTGCGCCTGAGCTTTTCTCTGCCGTGGTCTGAGTGGGCGATGCTGGAAGGTAACCATGGGAATGCATGCGGCTGGGGCTCTCTAATAAAGTCTTCGCAGTGGCAGAGTCACTGAAGTGGGACTGAGCGGTATATTCATCGTTAATAATACGGACGGTAGAGCTTGTTTTTTGGGATTTTCGCGCTACATTTGTCACTATGTCGGGCGGCGCAGTTCCAGATGCTCCGAGCCTTTCTTCCAAGATGAACATATCATCCGGAGTGCTGCTGATAATGAACTGCTCCTGAAAACCATTTCTCTGGTTTCGCTCTAAGTGGTCTGGCTTGGGAACAGGACCAGAATCCCCAGTGGGTGATACGGCTTCATCTCTCAACAGCATTAATGGCGCATCTGACTGGAAGCCTTTCAACGGTGTCAACTGCAAGGCCGTGCCGGCCCCGGGTCCGTTCTTATAAAAGTCTTTGATGAGCAGATCTTCGTGAAAACCAATGAAGTTGTAGTCATAATCGAAGAGGTCCACCAGCATGTTGTTCTTAAACTTGTTTTTCCCAATTCCCTTTTGATGCTGGTGGTAAAGCCTTCCTTTGATGGAGTTGTCGCCCTTGTCTCCCGAAGACTCCGGTTCGGCAGAAGGCAGCTGGTTCCTCTCGTGAATTTCCCCCGACCCATGACCCTGGCCGGTGCTCACCGGTTTGCCGAAACTATCGAGGGGTCCGCCGTTGCCACTGGGCAGCAGCTGGTCTAGTGGTGGGACAAAATGTGGGCGCGGTTGCAGCTCGTTGGACATGTCCCGATGACGCCCTTTGACGCCATGCTTTGGCACGCTTTGGTGCCTGTCACTGGCGGGTGGGCACTCGGTGAGATTGCATTCTTCCATAGCGGCAGGCCGGGCCTTGCCCTCGCAGGCTGTCCTGTTTCGGCGATTGTCGCAGTAGGTGGCACGCGTCCTGTGGCCCCCACCGCAGGACACGGAGCACTGGGGGGGAAACAAACACAGAGGTTGGCGTCACCGATTTTTCACCTTTGTTAAAAATGGGTCATGTGAATTAAAAGTTGGCCTTTTGTGCCATTTATCACTTTTCGTTTACAGAAAATAAATGCGTCGATGAAAGTAACAATGATAACCCTGGTGTATATGCAGTGTCGTTGATAAAGGAGGCATCTTTCGGGGAAATGTAACAATTTGGGTCTCTGAATACAACTAAAAATATTTAACAAATTCGCACATTTATGGCACCAGGAACAATTTAGAGTTATTTTAATAATAACCATTGTGGTTGGAAGCAAAAATGAATTTTCATCAAGAGAGATTAACGTTTTTATAAATGCGTACATGATTAAAAATGGTTATTAAAAATGGCACATTCCCTCTCAGAGATTTCATCAGCATTCATTAGCACAGTCAATAATTATATTTGCCTCCCTATTTGCCTCCCCGGCGTACACATTCACAGTTCAGTGAGAGATTGGGAGAGGCAGAGGCTGGGTAGCTCACGGAGCTCAGCCTCGAGCACAGAACCTGCAGCTTCATCTGAACATAGCTGACCTAATTAAAACATCCACCTCGAAGATGGAGCGATGAAATCAGTTCGTCTGCATGCCCTGGGTGGGTTGATGTATCGCAAGTTCATTAGAGGTGGTGGCAGCTTGGGCAGGCTTTCATCCTGCAGTGGATATGATCATGGCTGATGATGATAATGATGATCTTTCTTACGCCGTAACTTGCCACATTAAACACATCCCACGTTAAACGCTCAGAAATTCGCACGCTATTGGTTTTGAAACACAGTGGCACATTGCCGAGCCCGTTGAACTCAATCGTGCCCCATGTCTATAATCATTAATTAGGCAAAGGTTGAGAACCCCAGACCCCATCCTCCACGCTTGCCTGAGCAAACCGGCTGAGCGTGTCTGGCAGGGGATAGAGGAAAGGAAAGGTGCATGCTTGGCCTATGAATAAAAAAAAATCGAGACATTTTAAACAAGTAATTAAGGTGCAAAGAAGACAATATAAGGTTCATAAATGTGGTGGTTTGCTCAAATTAAACAGCTTTATATTGCTGCTGGGGTCCACATGAACAAATTACATGCAACATGTAAGCGTTGAAAAGTATTTAATCTTACATGCACAGTTGGAAGAACATATTGCAGGCATAAGAATCGAAATTGATCTATGCATCGATGAATTGTCACACGCCTCATGTTTAACCTGGAGAGAAGATGTCACCAATAGGAAACATCTTCAAATTAAATAACTCCAAAATTAACAATTAAGCGCTGGAACATTCCAATTCCTGTACATGAAGTTTGCATGCATTTAGTAAGGCAATATAAAACCAGGCCAGGTATTCAATTTTTTGATACAGCGAGCGTGCTGTGACGGTTCCTCCTGAAGACGGAGGCTTGTGTTGCCTCCGAAACGTCGTGATTTTTTACCTACGTGACTTTACCGAAAAAACCCAAGAATATGAATCCTTGCAGTCACAAAAGCTTCAAATCTAGAAGTAAGGTTAAGGTTGGGTTATAAGGTCAAGGCATTATTACCGAGCCACAGTAATGTATCCAACCAGGGACATGATTCTCATAAAATTACTAAAACCACTTCTACTTCTCCATCAAACAAAAGACAGCACATTTTTTTTGTTAAATCGCTGCAATATTTCCAGCACCTGGGACCAGTCGCCGACGAGCCAGCGGGCAGGGCAGGGCATCCCTCGGTTGCACGGAGTGCGCGTCTTCGGCTTGGGCCTTTGGTAGCAGTGGGAGTCTGGGAGGCTGGGCTCGTGGGGCCCAGCTGCTCTGCCGCCACGCTCACACCGCACGCTCCGCTTGCTGACGCCCAGCTCCCCGCAGCTGGTCGAACACTCCTGCCACTCTCCCGTCCACCAACTGTGCTCCTCGTGGAGGGGAAAAAAACGCCCACGATGCAAATTAAAAAGTTGCAGAGGTCAGCCGCTGATTGTCTGTAAGATGTGCTCTTTTAAACTTTTTTGACACGATGAAACGTGTCAGTTTTGTGATGGAAACAAAGGCTAACCAGAGAATGTTGTAGATTTCCCCCCCTGAACCATTATTACGAAGGTTTAAAGCTTTCGTGACTGCAGGGATTCATCTTCTTGGTTCTTTCGGTAAAGTCACGTAGAAGGGAAGTAATAAAATAATAAAAATAAAACATAATAAAATAATTCTCACGACGTTTCGGCCACAACGCAAGCAGCCGTCCTCATGTGAAGAATGAAACACCACAAAGCTTGGAGCGTAAATATACGTAAATATACACTCCAAGCTTGGTGGTGTTTCATTCTTCACCTGAGGACGGCTGCTTGCGTTGTGGCCGAAACGTCGTGAGAATTATTTTATTATGTTTTATTTTTATTCATTTATTACTTCCCTTCTACGTGACTTTACGAAGGTATATGTCGGTAATTAGGGCCAATACGTGTTATTTGCAGCCTTCATTGGCCAATGGGGTATTCTATAATAAAATAAAATAAAACAATAAAATTACCGCGTATTCATTCTGGTCTCCCCCCCCCCACCCATTGCATGGTCTAAAAGCTTTACTTTAGTACTTTAGATATTTTTCCACAAATGAGAGAAGTAAATAAAAAATAAATAACAAAGAAGCACGAATCCAGTACAAATTTTTTGTGTGAAGTAGCTCCTAATTGTAAAACCAATTTGGTCAACCGAATTGATTGCTTTACGTCGAACAAAGCACAGCACTCAGTTGTATAAATTGAAAAATTACATTAAAAAAACAAATGAGCATTAATCGTCAATTTAAAAATTTCGGTACCTCCTGATAAATGGATTGACGCAAACACTATGATTGATGCTAAGCGAGCACGCGCGCTTGTAATATTTGGCAAAGGCACGAAAAAATGATTCAATGCCACGCAGAGCCTCACCGTGCCGGGCAGTCCTGCGTGTTGCATTCCTTCCGCGTGTCATTGGGCAACGTGGCGGGGTCACAGAACCTTTTCTCGACAATTCCCAGCGACGCCTCCGTGCAGTGCGGCTCCCTGTACTGCACACCTACAAAGACAAAGACCCGTATAGCCTCAACAGACCGCTGGGGCAAGTGGCGTTAGCGAGTAAGTTACCTATGAAGGCCCGACACGGCACAAGTGGGGGCCTTTGTCTCCCCAGCGGCGATGTTTACACACCGCACCAGGTACTCATTTGAGCCTGAGTCAACCTAGGGGAGGCCCAGGACCGGTTCAGATAATCGTCACTGGTGTTGGTCGTGAGCGGGTATCGAACCCGTGTCGCCGGTTTCTTAGCGCAGCGTGCTAACCGCTACACGACCACTCCCCACTACGTGTTTGCACACACACACACAAACAGGCGCACGCACATACGCACGAGTCCAAATACAAGGCGTAGGTCATCAAGGGCAAAGTGTCTCGTCAAACATGTGTCTTGTATAGGTCAGTGAATTCAGTTTCTCTTTAGGAAATAGCTTCAGTTCCTCAAGAAGCCCCCGGCATGTGGAGAGAAACGTCGGGCATCATGCTGAACACGAGGGCACAACCCAGAAAAAACCCACACTGGACAGCTCTACAGCACAATCGTGAAAACCTACGCACGTATGTTGAACTTCTTTTGCAGCCTAAGTAGCCAACCATGCTCATCGAATGTGCAGTAGTAGCAACGTGTCTCGTCTTTGATCGGTGGTGTAGCATAGTTGTCATGTGCCCTGGCATATGGAATGAAATGTGGTCCCCTGTCAAATTCCCTCCCTCTTCATTGCCTGGCACTTGCAAATGGCCCGTGATCCCCTGATGCAGTCGCATCGTCTACGCACTCGATGGCTACACCGCTGACTTTGATTCTGCTCGGGGAAGATTACCACCACATCCTGCTGTCGGCATACTGAAGTTTGTTGTGCCCCGCGCAGATGTCGTTTGTCTGGTTGCAAGAGCTCAAGACGAGAGCCTACCACCACGCTTACGGATGTGTGCGATTGCAAAGCATCAGGTGTGTGCAGTTGTCCATTGCCTTACTTTGCACATACATGTATACGTATACGGGGTGCTTAACATTTTTTTTTAACACTTCTAAGAATTTGCAACAATACCACGAGAAATGTGCCTCCGGGCTCTGGAGACCACCTGGAGAAGATTCCAGGCGCGTGTTGACAACGATGGCGAACAAGTGGAGACTCTTTGACTTTTTGAAGCTATTAACATAGCCACCGCTGCTCCCTTTTGCCTCGATGTAACTGTAGAATAGGCTGCATGTCTCACTGGCACGGCCACCGTTACGATGGTTCTCTTGCGTTGATACTCTGGCCTCTCAACGCCGCAGCGTGTGTTGCCGGCGAGGTGGCGCTATGCCCGGTCCTCTGACACAGACACGCGACGGGACTCCTTTCCATCTCTGACCCCGCCTACTTTCCCTTGGGTGACACCCACCTCAAACCTATACAGTATATATAACCTCTTGTTGCAGCAGCCCTTTCTTGTTCAGCAGTTCTACTGCTGTATCTTTCCACCTGATGACGATTGCTTGTGTTGCGATCGAAACGTCGTGATTTATTATACATTTTTCCTACCTACGTGACTTTACCGAAAGAACCAAAGAGTATGGATTCCTGCAGTCACGAAAACTTCAAATCAAGATTTAACATACATTTGTTATTCGATTACAGTGTATTGTCCGTTCTTTTTCCATTAAAAACGATAGTCCCATGTAAGTTGGGTCGAGCCCACCATTAGGTTGAGCCCACCAAAATCCGATATGAACTCTTGTTGCAGCAGCTCTTTCTCCTACGTCAGCAGTTCTCCCGCTGTATCTGTTCCACCTGATGACGGCCGCTTGTGTTGCGATCGAAACGTCGTGATTTAATTTATTTTATACCTACGTGACTTTACCGAAAGAACCAAAGAGTATGGATCCCGTGTAAATGTTAGCATTTTTTTGAAGCACCCGGTATAACAAGTGGTTGTCCGCGAGGACTGGAGTTGAGACTGCTCTCTGGTCTAGCTGTGGGCATCACGTGTGTTCTCTTGTACGTGTCTTGATATGCCGGGGCAGTTGACTCTGGTGAGATGTTCTTTTATTAGTTTTGGTTGCTGGCTGCTTTGCATTATAGACTCGCGGGCTCGGGATTAGCAACTGACGTTCAAAAATGTTTTAAAGTAAAAAAAACAGAATGCACATAACATGTCAAGAGCCACGAGCTTGTGTTCTTCAGTCAGGCAATGTTGGCAGAAGAAAACGTGAATGTGTTTATCGGTGCAATTCTGAATTCAATTATGATTATCTACAATACTTTGTCACTCCACTGCTGGATGAATGCCTTGCTATGCTTTTATAGGTCAAGGGGGGTCGTTACCTGACCATACTTGACCGCACTGGTCAGTGCAGGCTGCTTAAAGAGGTGGTCCGGAATCTGGTTGAATTTTCACTCGTCATTGAAAATATCCCAGGCCTTGATTCTGATGTCACTGGATTTATAGCGCAGTGCGCTCACCACCATGCCACACGAGGAAAGTGAAACGGGGGGAGGGCAATGAAAGGATAGAGGTTAAAGAGGCGCATAATGGTTCCATCAATCAAGCAATCAAAGTTCTTCATTTAAACAGGTGAAAAATCATTAAACTGCATTCAAGGCAAACACGGGTAGCTATAATCATGTAGGGTTATCTATTAACTCCTGCACTTTTGGTTATGACGTTGGCCCATGTACAATGATTAATTTCCAATTACACCATGCCTCTCTAATGAGTGCACTTTATTCCAGGAATGTTTTTTTAAATGTTTCAGATGAATTAATTTGCGTCCTAAACTAAAATAGATTATGCTATAAATTAAAATATCATTATCATCATTAGCCACGATGTACCTACGACTGCATGAAGGCTTCCTTTCCGCAAGCCGCCACCGTCTCTCTGGGTCTCGCGATGCAACAATACATCCAGGTCGCTGTGCGATTATGAAAGCAATGCAAAATGCTGCGAAAAGGATTTTAGAAGATTAATTTCCTGGGTTTACAATTGTAAGTGGGGTTAAGCATGTTACTAATATAAATATACAGTCTATATTAAAATGTATTACAGTTTTTTTCAGTGCCATAATCTCTGGACTAACTATAAGATGCACTTCCCCCCCCCCGTGTGTTTTCAAATAAAAGTTTGGCTGCCTCTTATGATCCAGCTGCTGTGTGTGACAATATCTGTATAACTTTATTGACAATAGGCACACATTTGGAATGCGTCTTACTTTCCGGAGCATGCTATAACCTGGAGGATGTGGTACTCTTATTCATGTCAGGTAGAGTAATTCACTCTCTCTCATTGATTCCTCCGACCCATACTGAGGACTACCAGGCAGACTTACTCTCTTTGTCTCATCCACACTGCTGTGGAGGTCACGCCGGAACACGCCAGGATCGATTCACCGCAATCAACCACCACACTGCAGGGGCAGAACACTTCTCTCTTTGGGGCTTCTTCCATCACACTTGCTCCACTTTGGAATTCCCACCCACAATCTCGTTTTTTACCAAGTCCTTATAACCATTCTGAATTCAAGAAAGTAATGAAATCACCTTGTACAGATTGAACAGTGCTGTTTTTTGGCTGCCCGCTCAGCATCGTGGGCCTTTGGGCCTCTGATCTGCTCAGCAACAGTTATTTAAAAACAAATAGATATATATATATATATAGCCTCAGTGGCACACGTGTGCTGTCCACGAGGCTACAAGGTCACCTGTCCACGCTTTTGAACATGACAAGAGGACAGGACGGCAGTCATCGTTGGGCTGAGCACTTGGGGTTTATTCCTCCCATGGTAGTTGCTCAGCGGGGAGAAGAAGAAAAAATAAACCTCAGCAGATTTGACAGGAATTCTTCCTCTTCCTCCTCTTCTTACTCGTGTTGTTTTTTTTCAGCGGCGCACAATGTGAGCCACTCGTAACAAGGCTGGTGAAAACCGTCACACTCGGGCTTTGTCCGAGTGCTTCGAGAAGACGTCATTTTGCCAACGTGCGCGTCGTCCGCACTCCGCAGGCGGCGTCAAATTTTCCCTGCGCCGATGTCGTGAACGCAGCTTCTGCTTACTGGGAACGACATCGGCTGTGCTTCGTGCGATGCAAATGCAACACAGGCAGCTTGCGGAGCTTACCGAAAGGTTCGTGTGCTAGGAGATTAAATTACATTTATGCATAAATAAATGTATTAATGTTTTTCAAGAGCGTCTGCGTATATTGTGAATGTAACTCGTGTGGTTTGTTTTTACCTACAGGATGGATTAAAACAGACACCATTGTATTTCTTGTAAAAGGGTGGTCAAAATGTTTTACACATACTTAAACGCCTGTACTAGGCTACTCAGAGTGGTTCTACATGTGTGGTTGATCATGAGGAATCATCATTCCCTTAAGCAGCAGCAGCAGCTGCCCTGTAAGAATTGGCTCAGAGGGCAGCTGGGTTGTGTGTTCACCCCTGATGAAGGTCCTTAAGTGCGGTGCTGATGAGTGAATAAGCCCCCGTTGTTCCACAACTGTCTGGGACTAAAACACAATGCGACGTACGGACATGCACTTCTCCCTTCTGCTGATGTTCTGAGATATTCTATTTCCCATTTTTATGGCTTGCTTTTGTTCCTCACAGGTGGCAACCCTACATCTGAGGCCTGCAACTTGTTTCCAGAGTGCTCGTGAACATTCACGATCATGTTCTTGGTTCTTATTGTATTATCTTATCATTTCATTATTTCCCTTCGACATGACTTTACCGAAAGAACCAATAATATGAATCCCTGCAGTCACGAAAGCTTTAAATCGAAATTCACGATCATGTTTTCGAAGCTACGGATGAACCTGCGCTTTTGCAAATCTTCTTGCTGTGGATTTCACACCTGATGATGATTGCTTGTGTTGCAGTCGAAACGTCGTGAGAATTGTATTGTTTTATATTTTTTATTATTTTATTGTTTCCCTTCTACGTGACTTTACCGAAATAACCAAGAATATAATGTAATTTCCCTTAACGGCAATACTCAGCCTGGCATACGATTCGCACGTGCAC